ATGGACACGTTCTGTAAATACTACTGCAGATGCATACCGGAGTTTGACGTTCTGGCCCGTGTAAGACTCGTACGGTTTCTCCACATGCGTGAACTCAAAGTCAAATGTCTGAGACTGGCTCATCTCACCCGGCCGAGCCAGGTCCTTCACCAGAGATACAAACTCATGATGGTTCCCTCTGTCATAGTACAACTCTGAAAACACGAGATAGGGAGCAAAAGAAAAAAGGGAAAATGTGTCACTACTAATTAGTGAATTATGCATGCGTTGTCTTTTCAAAGGAGGTTGTACGAGGGACAAGCTTCTCCCAAGTGAGCTGTATTCACACAGAATACTAGGCTAAGGCTAAATCTACCTCCTAACTGGCCGAGTTAGGAGGAACTCTTAAATATTTGTTGTGTTATTAAACTTAAACCTCCTAATTTTTCTTAAAGCATAGTTAGCACTGAAAGCAGGTTGTAAGCCTGTCAAAGCTTGAAAGTACGCCCAGAAGTCTCAAAATCACAAACAACCTTAAAAGTGATTTAATGAAGTCTATAGTCTATGTGTTTGATATTTTTAATGACACAATTTTTTAAAGCTTCTTATCTTGTAGATTGCAGGAATTAAGTAATGCAGAACTGCTCAGATTTTACACAACTTTCCACTACTTGAGCAACATGAAAGTAATGCTATGAAGATAAACTGCAAATATGAAATTTGTATGAATTGTATTTATTTATAACATGTATTGGGATATGGTTTAGGAAGACCACACAGACTCTTATCACATCAGCCAATAAATGTAAATATTCATTCATTAAACACGCCATTGTCTGTAGCAATGGGGTCGACCCCGCCCTTGCTCTTATTTTAGGAATTCCTCTTCTTTGAAAACTTTTACTGCCACTTTAGGGCCTGGTAAGTTAAGATTCTTTGTGTACATGCGCCCTGAATCTTTCCAAAGACACCGGCCACTTTATTAGTACACCTAACTTACACTTGGTAGGTATACAATTACTGACTGTATCCCATATGTGGCTCTTAAATTTGTCAGCCCTCTTTTACTCCAACCATCAATGGAAACGATCATAACACCACGGCTTATTAAGACATTATTTGGGTAGAGTGCTGCGCTGGTATACGTGTGTTAGATGAAGCAGCTTTGTTAGGCTTTTATACACACAGCGCACACTTACTGCCTCTTTATTCCACACACCTACCCTGTTAGGGTAGAGTTGAAGACTGCACTCAGCTTTCTCCATATGAAGTGTGTCAGTTTCTGATGGGAGGACGCTGTTGGCTGGAATCAGTAAATTGGCAGTCATATTGGGGCGTTTAAAAAAAATCCGAGGAACACTGCTATGTCTTATACACTCATACCAGCACTGTCACTGCTGAGCAGAGAAAGGTACCTCACCCTGTTGTTATCTAGTCAGAGGTCGGTCCCGGCACTCTATCACTGCAGCCCGGGTTCGATTCCCGGTCAGGGAACTGAGCCCAGCTACTGGGGTTGCACATGACAGTGCACTCCCAGTGCTGGTCCCAAGCCCAGATAAAACTGGGGATGGGTGTGTCAGGAAGGGCATCCGGGGTATAAACTGCCAAATCAAATATGTGGACAAATGATCCGTGTTGGAGACCCCTAACAGGAACAGCCGAAAGAAGAAGAAGAAGAAGAAGAAGAAGAAGGTGGCCCTGTGGTGGTCCTCTGACTGTGATGTTTGGGCTACAGTGAGTAAATGTATAAAAATGTACCTACACAGTGTGTCTATAGGATAGTTTAGGATTTAAAAAAAGACTTTATCTAATAAAAAATATGACTATATGAGATATCTATCTCCAGTAAACTGTAGTGTCCTTTACATGCAAAAACGCAGAATATATACGGTAATTCGAGTTAAAAGACTTTGCTCTGCAATACTAAACACTTTATATAGTGTTTAATATTATTATATATACTGTTTTTTTTTTTTTTTTAAACTGTGTTACCAAGTGAGCTGTGTTTATTAACCGAAATGCTGCTACACTGAGGAAGAAGCCAGTCGTCACGTGACACAGGCCAAAGGCCGAGTAATCATAGCGCGCTCTTTCTTTTCCCCGGATGTCACATGTCACGAGACAGCAGCAGGCATCTTAACAACATCTAACTGAATTCAGCAAACCTCCATCTTTAATCCACCTGCAAACTCATCAGACCCCATAGAGCTCATCTACTGAGCAAGTCACCATCCGTGCACATGCAGCGGGACCCGAGCGGGGTCTCAGCCCGTTTAAAGCCTGTGTTGCTGTTAGAGTATGCCAGGGTTTCGAAAGCAGAAATGTTAGGAAGTGTTGCTCACCGATCTGCCCGATAAATTCGATCTTTATGCCCTGATGTTCCAGTCTCTTCCCCGGGTTTTTTAGCGTGATGTTGACTTTGCCAGAAACCGTCTCGCCGTCGTAGAATAAGAAGTACTTGTCTTTTTTCCCATCTTCTGTCTTGTGTTCCACTTTCTTCCGCGTTTCAGCGTCATTCAGAACTATGTCGATTTCAGCACTTTGACCAAAACCGAAAAAGCTCATTCCGGCACCGTGGGGATGGAAAATGCTTCGATATTAACACCTGATCCAACTCCGCATCGAGACAGCGCGTCCTGACGACTGAACACCTTCTCTCTCTCTCTCTCTCTTTACTCTTACTCTTTACTCTAACACTCTCACAACATGGAGATTTCTAACCAACTAATTTTTCCAAAAAAATTATAATAATTAACGCAGTTATAGTCTCATATAGCCTAAGCAGCACTATCAACAACTCAGTACCAGATTTTGCTGCTACAAACAGGGTGAAAAGCGGAACGTTAGGAAACCGACAATACGCTCCACCGGAAGTGATTGTTTTCTCAATAAAAGTCCTTAGTGTTGAAGTCTATCAGGAGTTCTCAAACTATATAAAATAAATTCCACATATTTATATGATATTGTTATGAATTATAATATAATTCAAATTATTGACATATTAGTCTCATTATTTAATTGAATATAATACTATTTTGTCCATTTTATATATATATATATGAAAAGTTGTTAAATATATATATATATATATATATATATATATATATATATATATTAAATATTTAAATATATATTAAATAAATAAATATTATATATATATAATATATATATTAAATATATATATATATATATATATATATATATATATATATATATATATATATATATTTAACAACTTTTCATTAGGTCCAGGTTGACATTATCTACAGGCATTATTGACATATTGATGTATTGATGGTATGGTATTGATATATGACATCTATCTATATTTATTTATTTATTTATTTTTGAGTTATTGAGGTCTGGAATAAATTCAATTCAACTGCCTGGTCAAATAGTCTTATATAAACAGTAAATATAATATCTTTGATAATGGTGTGTTGTGAAAAAATTCAATCATTGACCCCTGGCTATGCCTCACAGATGCCACTTTGAGAACCAGATGGAACCAAATGGAAATCTGGATTTGTTTCATTTTAAACCTATTCCAGTCGCTCAAGTTTATAAAGCTCTGAAAGACATTGACCACAATTTCCACAAGGTCCAGACAATTTGGATCCTTATTCCTAAAAGTAGTGGCAGATACTATTGTTGAGCCTATTACTCATATTTTTAAATTGAGTCTTCTGTCAAACTCCATACCTAAAATCTGGAAAGCTGCTTATGTTCTCTCCTTATTTAAAGGTGGAGACCCCTCAGAGTTGAACAATTGTCATAATTTCCAAACTTTCAATCCTGGTTAAAATCCTTGGATCTCAGGTACATTTGCAGTTAAAACAGTTTTTACTGGATGATAATATTTTTAAGTGATTTTCAGTCTGGTTTTAGAACCGGTCACAATACCATTACTGCTGCTATGGTTGTGATAAATGATCTTGTTGGTGCCTTGGACAGAAAACAGCAATGTGCTGCCTTATTTGTGGATCTGTCTAAGGCGTTTGATTCAGTGGACCATGAACTGCTGCTGAACAAACTTAGGAATGCTGGTCTCAGTCCTAAGGTCTCTCTCATAACAGAGATCCTTTATCTCAATGGGACTTCCTGGTAAAGTAATGGTAAATAAAATAATAAATAAATTGTGATCATGTATGCTTTTTAAGAAATTATTTCTGTAAATGTATTTTTCTTTATTAAAATATATTCGAATATAACAATAAGTCGGCTCCTGGATCAATTTCTTATTAAAAGCTCTAAGTCTGTACTTCCTGGCGGAGACAAACGGGACAATGTTAAAGGCAACAACAGGGTTCTCAGGAGCAAATGAAATTTAAAAAAAAAAAAAAAAAAAAAAAAAAATTCCAAGAATGATAATTTGTCTAATTTAATTCATTCAGTATACTGTACATTAGAGGTATCAAAAATGTTGAGAAAATATAATTATTTAAAAAAAAAAGTAGTTTTTTTTTTCTTTTTTGCTAGAACAAAGAGAGACCGTTTAACCTATTGTTTGTGTGTAAAATTTGAATTGTTGTTTTGGATGTATTTCCATTTATGCCCAGTGTTTCCAGGATAGGCTCGAGATCCACCATGACCCTGACCATGCTAACACTTTAATTACAAATGTAAATAACAGAGTAGTGGAGCCTTAATTCAAAGTACAAGCTCATCAAATCATGGGCACTTTTGCCATATACCAGAGTGCAGATTTTAAAAATTAATTCAAGCACTCACAAAGCAGTGCCTTCCATTTAGTAATTGTGTGATCCATCCATCCATCCATCCATTTTCTGTACCACTTATCCTACACAGGGTCACAGGGAGCCTGGAGCCTGTCCCAGGAGGACTCGGTGCACAAGGTGGGGAACACCCTGGACGGGGTGCCAGCCCATCACAGGGCACAATCACACCCACTCACACACTATGGACAATTTAGAGATGCCAATCAGCCTACAACGCATGTCTTTGGACTGGGGGAGGAAACCCCCAAAGCACAGGGAGGACCTGCAAACTCCACACACACAGGGTGGAGGTGGGATTCGAACCCCCAACCCCAGAGGTGCAAACGTGCTAACCATTAAGCCACCATGCCCCTGCAACTGTGTGATATTTTTAGTAATAAAACTGAACAATATCTGTATTTCTCTAACACTTCTAAATGCTCAATAATCTTATGTTTGAACAAGCCTGCTCTTGAGCCTGCTTCTGATCTAATCTTATCAAATTACTATTTCCAGACATATTAAAAAGCTGTGAAGCTTTTTCTTTTCTTTTCTTTTCTTTTTTTTTTTAAAGCTTTCTTTCAGGATTTTGTTATTGCTGTTCTGTTTAAAAAATACAAAACTGGCAACACTTTTATAGCTTTTTTTTTTCAGACAGACTTTCATAATCATCATAAAAGTAATATATTAGTCAGTTTTCTCACCGTATGAAAAAATAATATTTTTTAAAAAATAGCCAAAGCATATGTAATTTTTGCAAAATTGTTGGGATCAACTTCCGGTTTGATGCTGACCACACCCCTTATATGATGTCACATGTCAGTTCTGGCACTGGAAGGGATTAGTAACGTACGTTTTTACTTTCACTTATCAGGCCAGAAAATAAATTGCTGCTAATTTAAACTATCCCAATTTCTCAGATGTCCAAATATACCTGAATTCACTCCAACTACAATTCACTTTATACTGCAGCTCACTGTTTGCACTGCTGTGTTACTACATTTATCTGACGATTCATAAAGTTTTACGAGTTCACATTGGCTCTCAGTGTTCACCTAAAAGAACCGATTCACAGAGCCGACTCAGTGAACAGTGGTTTCCATGACAACAAAGTAAGCAACACTCCTCCAGGTAGCACAAACAACGATTTAGCATCAGTGTGTAGGTGAGCCAAGTAGCTGTTTGGGGCAGTTTCACATTTATGTACAACACTGATTGATTTTTATTTGTACTTTAACACAATTGACGTGTAAAATAAATAAATAAAAAAAAGCCAATTCGCAATGGGCAAGAAGACTGGAGAAAAGAAAGCTACACTGGCAGAGTCTTTCATCAAGTTCCAGTAAGTTAACTCCAAAAAGAAACAGGATTAATATCCATTCCTTTAGAAAGCTTTAATAGTTCATAACCAGTAACCTGAGCTTGGACATCTTCCCTCAGAATTGAAGTTAAAAGTAAAGAGATTGAAGAATTTAAGGAAGAAATAAAGGAACTGGAAGCCAAGAACCAAAAGCTTGTTGAACTGGTAAGACTCCAGCCAAACATTTAAAACAGCTCTTCTGTATAATCTACCTGCATTGAACCCATTCTGCTTACCTAGGATCATTAATGTCATGGTGATTGAATGACTGATATGTTGGTGAAGATGATAATAATGATGGTATGTTCCAGCGAGATCAGCTGCGAGAGGAGCAACAGGGACACCTCAGTGTGCTACGCAAGCAAGCAAAGGAGCAGGAGAAGAAGCTTGCGGAGAAAGAAGTGACCAGAAAAGAACAAGTAGAACAGGCTGTCCGGCACAATCTAGAGCTCGTACATATCCACGAGGAGGAGCTGGCAGGTACTCAAACACTGGGCCTCATTTATGTAGCTGGATATGAATGGATTTATTTGTAAATCATTTGTATGAGCATTTACACAAGAAATTTGGTAAATAAATCCTACTCGTGATCCCGAGTGTGTGTAAATTTGTGCATAAGAAGACTAACGCATGAAAGCCTTGATTAATTGGCTTCAAATCATATTACTGAGTTTTATATACAGATTATGCTGTCAAAAAGTTAAATAGCTTGGTGTAATATGGATGCATGTATAATGTCTGCCAGTAGCTGCAGGAGCTCTACAGTTCCTGACCCCAGAAGCCGTTTTTTTTTAGAAAGAGAACAGCTTATTCAGATATTGGAGTATGAGTATGTGTATGTAAGAGTTGCACAGGCAGCTGGCGAGTGTACAGGCCCAGGCTGTGGAGCTGCAGGTGCAGAGGCAAACTTGGCAGCTATATAAGAACGTGGAGAGTGTTGAGCATCAACAGCATATCCAAAAACTACAGTCAGAACTCGACTCTATGCAGAAGAACTTCCAAGCAATGTCAGGTGAGCTATATTCATTTACAGTTTCTTTTTTTTTTTCCTCATAGGGAAGATTACTACTACATAGAAATTATGTGTATATTGCTGTCTCTTTTTTTTACCGATTAGACAAACTGTAATGTTGACTAGTTAAATAGAAGTCTGTTTTTCACAGAAAATATTGAGTACTCTCTGAAAGCAACCATTTGTAAGATTGACAAGAATACCTCACAGCTGATTGAAGGAGAGAAGCTGCTTGCTAGAGAGGTAGAAACATATCAAGCGTAGCTTCCTGCATATTAAATAAGAGTGCCTATTGCCACAGCACTCACACCCTGTATTCTTTTAGAGGGCATTAAAACAGGTTGACAAACACAGTCTTCAGAAGATCAAAAAGAACGACTGGCTTAAGAAAGAGGTAAGACTTTTATATAATTCACTTCAGAGTGCTCATGCACTGCTAGTGCACTAATCATTCAGTCTAAATACACAACATGTATAACAGGACAAGCTTTCTGACCATTTGAAATCCTTTTATTTTCTATAGGATATAGAGATGTGACAGATGTTTTTAAACCTTGTTATGTGTGTGTGTGTGCAATGATGTGCAATGATGTCCCATGCCAGCTTGCTGTCTATCTTGAGGAAGTCTCAGTACTGGAAGCAGCCGTGAGGAGCTTAGAGGAGGAGAACTTGGAGCATATGAGGCAACTGTTTGACCATCGCCTCAACGATGTACAAATCTCTAGGTGCTGTTGACTGTAATCATGGTCGCTGAAGCCTTCTGAAATATTTTCTAGGCCAGGGATTCATTTAAAATAAATTTCACTGACCCCCTCAGCACAGATTATTTGCAGTATTTTAGTAGTATCCTGCAAATGTGTACAATGATATTTTGCCTTTTTTGAGCCATAAAGCTTTTTATTCCTGAATCGACAGAATACATTATGACCAAGTCGACATTAGACCTACTTGTTTTGAGTTATTGAGGTTTTTGAGTTATTCTAGTTATTTTGATAATGGTGGATTGGGGCTTCCACTGTAACAAAAAAAAAAAAAAACAAAAAAAAAAACACCACACACACATGGACCTCTGGGTGTACCTGGTCCCCACTTTGGGAACCGCTGATCTAGGCCATTGATATTCCCCTTAGTGTCCCAGTGTTTACCAGTGACCAATTTCACACAATGGTCTGTTCTTAGATGAACAGAATCAGGTGTATTAAAGAGAAGAAAATTATGTATAGCATCAGGTTCCCAGGATTGTGATTGGAAATGACTGCCTAAACTGGTCTGAATTCTAATCCATCCTAATTTTGTTACAGCAACGTGTTACTGACTCAGGCTGAAGACTTGGAGCAGAAACTCAGCCTTCCTGATGAAAGAGCAGGTGATCCTTCCATATGAACTCCTAGTGTTACACTTTACAGACCACAAGAGGGTGCTCAGAGTATAATAACTGAGCAAGGCCTGACAATTCAGTGTAAAAGTGTTTTTGACAAATGCATGTCAGATTCCAGCAGGAAAAACGAACTTTGTCTTAACTAACATTATTATTGTTCTCATTAAAAAAGAATATTCAGCTGACAAAACAAATACGGCTCCATTAGTCTACAAGTCTACTAGATGTGTGGCAGCCTGGAAAAACCCTTCACATGATGAAATCTTAACATTTTCAACTATGCATAGTTCTGAAAATTACAGGCTTCCCTGACCTGAAATTTGTGCCTTATCTTCTCAATCACAAAGTCTAGTTACCACCAAAAGTGAAAAAGGAGGAGGTTGTTGGGGAAATAATCAGTTAATTAAGTGAGTTTAGTTGTGTTCTCTGTATTTTGTTTTATTAATGTACTGTATTTTATTAGGGCATTTAAACTATTTAAAACTTTGTCCTCTGTCATCTGTACAGAGTGGTTCCTTAACTGAGGTGATCACTACAGGTAGACAGCCAAGGCAAGAAAATGACCTAAATAAAATATTTCCATGTTGTTTTGGTTAAATATACACCAATCAGCCATAACATTAAAACCACCTTACTAATATTGTGTAGGTCCCCCTTGTGTAGCCAAAACAGCTCTGGCCCGTCAAGGCATGGACTCCACAAGACCTCTGAAGGTGTGCTGTAGTATCTGGCATCAAGACTTTAGCAGCAGATCCTTTATGTCCTGTAAGTTGTGAGGTGGGGCCTCCATGGATCGGACTTCTTTGTCCAGCACATCCCACAGATGCTCATACAGATACAGATTGAGATCTGAGGAATTTGGAGGCCAAGTCAACACCTTGAACTCAATATATTGAGTATATATACAATATATTTTTTTGTAAATCCATTTATTTCTGTAAAGCTGCTTTGTGACAATGTCCATTGTTAAAAGCGCTATACAAATAAAATTGAACTGAATTGAATCCACATAAATGCCAGGCTCCAAGGTTTCCCCAGCAGAACATTGCCCAGAGCATCACACTGCCTCCGCTAGCATGCATTCTTCCCATAGTGCATCCTTGTGCCATCTCTTCTCCAGTTAAGCGACGTCCACACGACATAAAAGAAAGTGTGATTCATCAGACCAGGCCACCTTCTTCCATTGCTCCATTGTCCAGTTCTGATGCTCATGTGCCCATTGTAGGGGCTTTCGGTGCTTGGACAGGGGTCAGCATGAGCACTCTGACCGGTCTGCGGCTACGCAGCAAGCTGTGATGCACTGTGGGTTCTGACTCCTTTCTATCATAGCCAGCTTTAACTTTTTCAGCAATTTGTGCTACAATAGCTCTTCTGTTGGATCGGACCAGACAGGCTTGCCTTCACTCCCCACACGCATCAGTGAGCCTTTGGTGCCCATGACCCTGTCGCCAGTTCACCAGTTGTCCTTCCTTGGACCACTAACCACTAACCACTGCATACCGGAAACACCCCACAAGACCTGCTGTTTTGGACATACTCTGACGCAGTCGTCTAGCCGTCACAATTTGGCGCTTGTCAAAGTTGTTCAGATTCTTGTGCTTACCCATTTTTCCTGCTTCAA